GCTGGTGGGACTGTAAAATGGTACAACCATTGTGGAAAGCAGTATGGTGATTCCTTCAAAAGTTGGAATTAGAAATATCATTTTACCCAGCCATTCTATTACTAGGTATATATCCTAAAGAAGTGAGAGCCATGACAAGAACAGATATATGCACACTCATGTTCACTGTAGCACTATTTACAATAGCCAAAAGATAGAAACAACCTAGGTGCCCATCAACTGAAGAATGGATAACCAAACTATGGTACATACACACAATGGAATACGATGCAATGCTAAAGAATAATGTAGAATCTGCAAAACACCACATAATGTGGATGAACTTGGAAGACATTATGCTGCATGAAATTAAGTCAATCATAAAAGGACAAATACTGTATTGCTTCGTTATTGTAAAAGTCAAGAAAATGTTTATCTATGGAAGGAAATTTTCTTTGTTGGTTACCAGGGGTGGGAGGGGAAGGTAGGGGACACTGTTAGATAGACAAAGATAAGTATTGATTTGGGTGAAGAGAAGGGGAATGTACCAAATGTGTGTGACCAATATGGCAGCACTGAGGAGGAGAAAGACATAGAGAGGTACATGGGAGGTACAGACAATAAAGATGAACCCTTCTGCACATATAGTACTGTGTTGTCAGTGAAGGCAAACATGGGTATACAGGTAGATAGGGGTATACAGGTGGATAGATGAGTGGACAGGCTGAACTAATAGACATGGCTATGAAATGAGGAGTGTACCTAAGAACATGTATAGGGTTGGCAGACAATGGTCTTATAAGTTTATGTGTATGATCTGAATTCCCAGGTGTATAGTAGAGCTGACAAGGGGCAAGGTTGTAGTCACTGCTTGGTCACAGGCCAGCTACCCAAAGGGACCGAGTAGTTGAACCTGTGGGGCTCGGGACCATAGTCGCAGGGGACATCAAGCTCAATTGGCATATAGCACACTACACAAAACATTGTTCCACCTCCTACTTTGGTGAGCAGCAACTGGGATCTTAAAAGCTTGCAACCAGCCATCTAGATGCAATGATGGGTCTCTCTGTGTCCAGAGCAAAGAAGAATGAAGAAAACCAAAAATTCATGGAAACAATTAGTCCTAGTGACTGGTACACCATCCATTCTGCAGCCTATACGACTATGAGACCAGAAGAACTAGATGGTGCCTGGCTACC